CAGAGGCTGTCTAAAAAGGGAGGTGGGGGTTGGGGCTGAGAAGCAGCACACTGCAAAGGTCCTGGGTTCAATCTCTAGTACTGCAAAGTAAATAAATTAGCTAGTGAAAAATAAAAATCCATGTTAAACGCTGGGCATGGTGGTGCATGCCTGTAGTCCCAGCAAATTTGAGAGGCTGAGGCAAGACAACCTCTTACTCTTAAGAGTCTGAGGCCAGCCTGGACAACATAGCAGGATCCTACAAAACAAAACAAAACCCCTGAACAGACACATCCCCAAAGAAGATATACAGATGGGAAGCAAGGAAGCATATACAAGATATTCAATATGACCTATCATCAGGGAACTTCAAATTTCAACTGCTGTTAGCGAATATCAACAACCCTCCTAGCACCTGTGGCCAGCAACTACTGGCAGCTCCCTGGAGCCCTGCAAAAAGCCAGAGCCAGCAGAATCTGGCAGTTTCTGGGCCTCTTACGGCAGCTCACTGCTCTCCCTGGCTGTCCAGCTGCCCTCGAGGTTAACCCAGCTGGCTGCAGGCTGCTTTCTGGGCAAATGTCCTGAGGGTTCCCAGCTCGAGTGCAGCCAGCTCAGCCTGCTCTACTTGGATGGAAATCGCAGCAGGCAAGGCAAAGCAACCCGAAAGGCTTTCTGAGGTTTTGTGCTGCCCCACATCGGAAAGCAGGCTGCTTTCTCCGGCTGAGGGTTCGCTGGCGTGTATTTAGCTCAGTGGCATAAGCACCTGCCTTGCAAGCAAGCAGTCGTGAGTTTGATCCCTGGTACCTATAAAAAGTTAAAAAGTTAAAAAAAAAAAAAAGGCAGAAAAAGAGGCACCATGTGAGTGCCACGCCCACCTGCCCTTCTGTCACCGATAGGAGAGCGCACGCAGGTCGGAATGGGGACAGAGGCATCCAAAGTAGTCAGGGGGCATCTGGTTAGTACCTATGGCCAAAGCCCAAGTCTCCCTGACAGGTATTTGGGGCAGCCACAACTGTCCACAATGGAAGAAAGAAAAGGTCAAAGTACTTCTGCTGGTGCTGGCGCCTCCTCTTCTGTCTCACTTTTCCCACAGAATCCAGCCAGCACACTCTTTGGTGTCCACGTAACTGAACTGATAGGTTAGGTTCATGTGAGCACCTGCTCACACATGTCTATGGCAGTTTTATTTATAACTGCCAAAGCTTGGAAGCAAATGAGCTGTGGGCGATGGGTGAGTAAACTGGTTCATCCCTATGATGGTTATCATTCAGTAAATGTTTAAGAATGATCTTGGTGGCACATGCCTGTAATCCCAACACTGAGGCAAGAGGACTGCAAGTTTGAACGTAGCCTGGGTGTCAGTGATTTAGCAAGACCCTGCCCCAAAATAAAAATCTAAACAGGCTAGGGGTATGGTTCAGTGTGAAGACCCTCGGTTCAAATCCCATTACTGGAGAAAAAAAAAAAAAAAAAAGGCAGGTATGGCGGTGCCTGCCTGTAATCCCAGCATTTGGGAGGCTGAGTTCATGAGTTTAATGCTACCCTGGGCTTCATAGTAAGGCCCTGTCTCAACAGCCAAGGGAAAAAGAGAGAGACAGACAAAGAGGCAGAGAGACAGAGATAGCACAGTCAAGTCATGAAAAGACATGGGAAGTTTTTAAATGTCTATTACTAAGTGAGAGAAGCCAGGCAGGTGTGGTGGTACACACCTGTAATCCCAGGAAATTGAGGAATCTCAGGAAATTGAGGTAAAAGGATCACAGTGAGTTCTAGGCCAGCCTGAGCTACACAGCGAGTTCAAGGTCAGTCTTAATTATATAATGAAACCTTATTTCAAAGAAACAAAAACCAGGGCCGAGGATATAATTCAGTGGTATACCTTCCTGGTAAGTGAAGGCCATGAGTTTGATGCCTTGTACAAAAAAAAAAGTTAAAAAGCAAAAACAAAAACAAAAAAACAACTAAATGAAAGAAACCAAAGGGAAAAGGCCAAAGCTGTGTAATTCCAACTGTATGACATGTGACACAGGCAAAACCATCGAGACAATAAAAAGACCAGCAATTGCTAGGAGTTGATGAGAGGTCGGGCAAGCAGGTGGTGCACAGAAGGTTTTTAGGGCACTGAGACTGCTCTGCAGGACACTGTTGTGACAGACTCACATCACTATAGAAGTCATAGAGTGTGTCCAGGTGTGGAAGCACACACCTGTAATCTCAGCACTTGGGAGGCTGAGGCAGGAGGAACAGCATGAAGGGTAGACAGTCAGTTGAAGCCTAGAAATTTTTTTTGTGTGTGAACTTGTCTCAAAAAAAAAAGCACTCAAGTTCACTATGTCAAGAGTGAATTCTAATGTAAAGTATGGACTTTGGGTGTCAATGAAGGTTCTTCAACTGTAACAAACAGGACCCTTCAGGTGCAGGAGGCTGATGATAGGAGGCTGTGCATGTGGAAGGCAAGGAGTAGATGGGAAACTCTCTCCAGTTTTTTTCAAAACTGGTGACTCAACCCAGAGCCTCATGCATGTGAGACAATTGCTCTACCACTGGTCATCCTCTACAAGCCAGTAAAGTTGGTCTTGGAAAATATAAGCATAGTAGTTCATGATTGTAATCCCAGCACTCCGAGAGGCTGAGGCTAGAAAATCACAAATTCAAGCCCAGCCTGGTCAACTTAGTGATTCAGTGAGACCCTGTCAAAAAACAAAATATGGGGCTGGGGATTTAGCACAGCGGCATAAGCACCTGCCTTTCAAGCAGGCAGTCGTGAGTTCAATCCCCGGTATCGATTTAAAAAAAAAAAAAATAGGTCGGGCATGGTGGCTCACGCCTGTAATCCCAGCACTCTGGAGGCTGAGGCAGGAGGATCGTTGCAAGTTCGACACCAGCCTGGGCTAAAGTGAGCTCAAGGCCAGCCTGAACTGCATAGCGAGACCCTGTCTCAAGGAAAAAAAAAAAAAAAAAAAAAAAAAAAATATATATATATATATATATATATAGTCAGGCATGGTGGAGCATACTTGTAATCCCAGCACTTGGGAGACTGAGGCAGGAGGATTGCTGAGAGTTTGAGGCCAACCTGGGCTACACAAAATTAAAAAAAAACAAAAAACAAAAACATAAATAAAGGCTTGAGGGTTTAGTGAAGACCCTGGATTCAATCCTCCATATTAAAAAGGGAGGGGGGGATATTTAAGAAAGAAAAAGTTAAAAAAAAAAAAAAAGAAAGAAAGAAAGAGAGAAATAAGGTTAAGGCCACATTAATTGCAAATACAGAACCTTAAAATGTCATAAGAGTTGTACCAAACAAGCAGGATTTGCTTATCATGTTTATATTAAGTACATGCCTGGCTGTGTAAGGACAGGATTGAGCCCTGGGGCATGCAGGGAGACCTGGTGACCCAGCACCCACCCTATACCCCCCAACCCTGTCCTCGGGCTCCCTACACTGCTGGTGACCTATGACGAGCAGTGCCTGGCCTGCAATCTGTGCCTGCTCCCTCCCTCTAGGTGAGGCCCCTCTCCAGGGGTCTGCTGCACTCCTGCTGTCTTCCTGTTTCCTCTGCAGCATTCTTGGAAGTACCCTGGGCTTCAGTACCCGCCCCAGGTCTCCACCAAGTGGCTGTGGGCCAGTGGCTTGGCAGGGTTCCTGGGGGAGGCTGGGAGGAGGCTCGCAGGTGGGAGCCAGTTTGCTTCTGAGGCACTCTTACTTTTTTTTTTTTTTCTCCTTTTTTCTTTCTTGGTTTCAGTATTCCAACTCGGGGCCTTGCACTTGCCAGGCAGCCACTATACTGCCAAGCTACATCCCTGGCCCATCAATCTTACTTTTATCTTAGATCCTGGCTCTTTCCCTGGGCCCTTGCCAAGGTTCCTCTCCTCTTTGGGACTGCAAAGTGCTCTGGAGCTTAGATTCAGGGATATTCAAGCACACTGCTGTGTGGCCACCAGCCTAGCTTGGTCTCCCTGGGGACCCAGACATCTCTGCAGCCTGTGTGGCACCCAGTGGGCGCCAGTTGCAGGAGCCTGAGATATGTACAAGTCATGGTAGAAACCGGGCTACAGGTGCTGGGACAAAGATGGGGACATGCAATAAAGCTGCTGGGCAAATTCTGGGGCTGAAGGAAGTCTGGCAGGCATGAGATGGGCCTACAAATGCACCTATCCTGCCTACGCCAAGAAAGCCTCATCTTTGTGGTCACATAGATCAGGACATACACAAGTCTTTCTTTAATTTTTTTGTTTTTTTTTTCAGTACCAGGGATTGAACCCAGAGACAGCATTGAGCTATTGCCCCCGCCCTTTGTGTTTTGTATTGTGAGACTCAGTAAGTCATTAAGTTACCCAGGCTGGAGACAGACCTTCCATCCTCTTGCCTCACCTTCCCCAGTGCCGGGATTACAGGTGTGCACCACCATGCCTGATTCAACAGAGTGATTTGAAACCATTACTAGAAACTGCTGATTAAAGACTTAACAGCTGGTGTCTGGTATCCCACACATATCCTCTTGGGTCTCATTGCGGTGCAGAAGGCCAGTTCCACAACCAAAGGCATTTTCTGAGGATAGAAAGAGCCAAGGAATGGCTGGCAAGGCAACTCAGGGCTGAAGAGAGAGGGCCAAAGTGCAACCTCAGGTGAGGGCCTTCAGAGGCAGCTAAGGCACACTGGCCCCAGGCTTAAGCCCCGCACTGCTACCCTCTCAGTGGGCCTGACATACACCTGAAGGCTGCCTCCCCTTCTTGCTTCCTGGGAGCATCTCAGATAAGCTACTTGTACTTAATCCTTGCTTCAGGTTCTGCTTCTCAGGGCTGCACACTAACCTGCCACCTGTGAAGCATGTTTTGATAGAGGAAGAAGGTGCCACCATCCAAAGGACGCACGTAAGGAAAAATAGGTGAGGTGTGGTATAAAAGATAGAGAAATCTCCATAAAGGAATCCTGGGGCACAAAGCGAAGACCTGTGGCCAGAGAGAGCTGCTTACCCCCAGGAGCACACTGTAACCATCAAACGCACAGGAAGACAGGGTGAGGTCACAGAGCCAGTCCTTTTAATAGAAAACGTCATCCAGGCTAAGGCTCTGGCATTCAGCTGCAGCAAATGAGGGAAACCAGTATGTCACCTCACTGGACAAAGGCTCCCACAATGCTGCCTAAGGGGACACAAAGGCAGGGACCAGCGCTCCCCACTGTAAGGGGAGATCCCTGGGGCTCTGGAGGGGAGTGACTTCTCGCAGCTCCTCCTGGTTGAGGCTGGGGTTGGGGCTGGTAAGGCCAACTCAATGCAGTGGGTGGAGTCATATGGCAGATCAAGACTCAGGATGTTCTGTGATCTCACTGACCCAATAGCACCTTGGCCCAGCCCCCTTGCTACCTGTCTGTCTTGTCTGGGGTCCCCAGTGCGGGGCACATCAGGGTGGGCAGAAGGCTGGCTGGAGCAGATGTCAAGCCTCTCCTTGCTGTGTGTGCCACTCTGCCTCCCTCATACCCCTCCTGGGACACCCATGCCAGCCGCATCAGCGAGGCCAGGAAGCACTGAATTCCTTCTCCAGAGCCTGGATAAACTGGTCATTGAGGAAGAGCAGCTGGCCATGGGGCAGGAAGCGGGAGAGGATGCCTTCAACATGGTCAGCCCGAAGCAGGAGGCTGGAGCCTGGGGCCAGCAGGCGAAGATGGTCCAGGATGAGGCGGGCCAGCAGGCGGAGTGTGCTCTCGGCCAGCAGCAGGTTGTCGTGGGCATCCAGCACCAGGGCAAAGCCTAAGGACAGCACTCCCAGCCACACCACAGTCCGAGGCTCCTGAAAGGGGTCCCCCGCTGCCAGCCCAAAGACCCCACGCGGGGCCTCATGTAGGGACACAGGCTCATCAGAGGTCTGGGCCTGTAAATCTGAGGGTGGGCGGCCTGAGGCCAGCTGCTGCAGTTGGCACATGGATTCCACCTGCCTAGGGTGAGAGGACAGGTCAGGCTGGTAGATGAGGAGCCCCCACATCAACTTCTGTCCTCCTCATGACACCTTTGGGGTTGGGAGCTGCCTCATCACCACATCAGGCAAAGAAATTGGGGCTCAAAGAGACCAAGTGATCAGCCCAGGGCCACACAATGAGGAAAGGTGACCCCCTTTGGGAATGAAATCCTCAGCCTGTGAGCCCTGACCCACTTTACTCCATGTGACCAGAAGGCAGGTTCTGAACCCATCACCTTGGACAGGAAAAAGGTCCCAGGGGAAGAAGAGCCACGCCCACCTACCTCATGAAGTCAACACCATCACCCAGCCTGCCTGCCAGCCTTCCTGCCCTCATCCCTTCCTCTACCCCACTCTACATAAAAAGGACCCTCCCGCCTTCCCTGTGACCCACAGGACTTTTTGTTTTTAAGACAGGGTCCACTATATAGTTCAGGCTGGCCTCGAACTCAGCAATCCTCCAGCCCTAGCCCCATGAGGGTTACAGGAGTGGGCTACAGTGCTTGACCCATCAGGAATTTTGATGGGAGATCCTGAATCACTTTCCAGTCCGGGTCACAAACAAGCTCACTGCAAAGGCTTTCCTTTGGTCTTCTGTGCTCCTGGAAGGACAAGGTCAAGAACACAGGTCTAGAAGGAGTCAGCACAGAGTTCCCAGGACACAGAGGGCTACTCTGTCTGGGTCTGGGCGGGGGCATCCAAGATAGCCACCACTATCTGGCATAGCATTTTCTAAACTGTGCTCTGGAGATCAGGAGACCTGGCTATAAAGAGTCTCGGTGTATCATATTCCCTTTTCCTTAGAGATGCAGTCTATGGAGACATCCTGCACTGTAAAGCATGTGTAATAACACATACTTAAAGGCTCAATAAATGCTAACTATAATAATACTGACTATAGCATTATTATTTCTAAAGCTTTTTTCATATTCACATTCATGAACAACTGCAGAAGACTGGAAGAAACATTCTAAGGCTGCTCTGGAATGTGGTGGCACACGTCCATATCTTAGCACTTGGTAGATTGAAGCTGGAGGATCACTAGACTGGGCTACATAATGAGTTTTCAAGGCCAGACTGAACTTCAGTGAGACCCTGTCTATAAAGAATAAATAACCGGGGCGTGATGGCTCACACCTGTAATTTGAGCACATGGGGGGCTGAGGCAGGAGGACTGTTGTTAGTCTGAGATCAGCCTGGGCTACAAGGTGAGCTCAAGGCCAGCCTGAACTGCATAGAGAGACCTTGTCTCAAAAAGACAAAAATAAATAAATAAACAAATAAAGTAAAATAAAATTTTCTGCTTCTCAATCCTGTTTCTCTGTGATCCCCAGAATAGCTATCATAATTGGCCATATGTTCAGTGAAGTCTTGGGCTGGACTATAGGGTTACCTGGCCACGGCCAAAATCTGCTCCTTGCGAAGTAGTCTGTCCCTCTCTGCACCATGTGGCCGCACGTCTTCCGCTGACTTCTCAGCACCAAAGATACAAGAGTAGAGCACTCTGCAAAAGCCTGTGTCCTCTGCATTTGGGGCCCTCAGGGTATGGATGAGGAAGGCGTGGACCATGACTGAGCAGTATTCCAGGAAGCAGAGTCCAGAGTGAGAGTGAAATGTCAGCTTTGGAGGCAGTACCTACAGGGTGTGGCCTCACAGGAGCTCAGTTTCCGGATTTGTCCTATAAGACAAATGTGTGCTGTGGTTTAGATGCTGATTCTAGACACCCTCCCAAGACACACACCAGCCTCTGAATACAACAGTCCCTGGCCAGCGCCAGTACACAGGGCCCGTGGTGAAGAAACCTCACACAAACCCAACCTTAGTTCTACAAACAACTGGCCAGGAATTCCCAAAAGTGTCAGGAAAACCTGGAGCCGCACCAGATTGACAGAAAAACTAAGGAGGGCCAGGGATGTAACTCAACAGCATAAGCACCTGCCTGGCAAGTGTGAGGTCGTGAGTTTGATCCCCAGCACAAAAAAACTTAAGCAAAAAAACTAAAGAGTATAGCAAAAAGACTATATTACTGGAACAGAGAGACTGGACCTAGAAAAGGTTATTTCCATAAAGGGATTTCTTAAGACATAAATATGGACGATTGTGAGTAGTAAACAGTCTGTTATGTCATTTTGTAGGAGAGTGACCTTGGTTTCAGAAAATGCACGGGGAAATGCTTCTATAAAGGGATATCACGTTTGCAATTACCTCAAATAGTCCCCGGGAAAAAAGGTACAAAGACAGCAAATGATAAAACAAATGGGATAAAAGATGTTAACAACTGGAGAATGGCATTAAAGGGTATATGGAGCTTATCAAATTACTTTCAAAAAAAAAAAAAAAACTATAAAGGTATCTGGCTCAGGGGCGGCCCAGGAGCTGAAAGGCAGTGGGTACACAGTCAGCCACCAGATAGCCACAGTTAAGGCCAAAGTGACTGTCAATCAGGTAGAGTGGTACATGACTATAATCCCAGCACTTTGGGAGGCTGAGGCAAGAGGATCGCAAATTGGAGCCCAGCATGGGCAATGTGGCGAATACTGAATCAATTTAGAAAAAAAGTAAAGGGATGGGGATACAGATCTGTACGAAGGCCCTGGTTTCAATTCCAGTGCTACAAAAGAAAAATTAAATAAAATAAAAGATGTCAGTTCAAACAGGAAAGATGAAGCCCTAGTATCTAATCCGGAAGCTGAGCGCGTCATCAGCGCACGCCACCGTATTCCCCTCTCTCTAGAGCACTGGTGGTGGCCAAGGCCCATTACGTCACTGCCTCCGGCAAACCTGCACGCAAAGCACCTTGGGGGTTGTAGTTCTTCACTGGCTATCCAGGCCTAAGCGGGTCCGCAGCCCTCACTGGCGCAACTGCAGCAGCACCAAGCCGCCGTCGTCGAGATGTAGTGCTCCGCTTTCCTTCCGTGGACTTCCGACAGGACTCCCGGTCAGAGCTGGAGGGCAATGGCGCCGCGCGATCAGTGGCGCCTGCGCAATACCGCAGCGGTTGGCGTGGGAGTGGTCTGCAGGGTGCTCCACGATCCTGCGCGGGCGCTTCCTACCCAAGAAAGCCCGAAGGCTTCACAACCCTTTGGGACCCCCTGCTTCGCGCTCCGGGAGGGAGCCGGGCAGGCCACACCCGCTGCGGGCCCGCGGAGCCCCGCCTGAAGCCCCGGGCCATCTGTTCTCCACCACCTACCGCGAGGGGGCGCAGTGGCCCGGCGGAGTGGGGCCTGCGGGCGGGGTTCGGACCCCGACTCACCCGCCACCCTGTCTAGGCTAGCTGGCCCGAGCTGAGCGGCTACGTCAGCGCCCAGAGATGCCCGCCTGACTTCGTGGGCCTGCCCCTTGCGGGAGAGTTCACTAATCCTAAGTGGGATTCCCTCTGGAGCTATGCATATGCTACTAGCTCTGTGCAGATTTTATATTGTAGATTTCTTTAGCTGCCCTCGGTTGAGGTTGGCCTTGGCCTAAAAGGATTTGACACTTTGTTCCTGGCAAGACAGTCAGCTTGATTGGGTCACAATGAAACTCCATAGAGACCTGAAGTGAACTCTTAGGGCTAACCATTTTTTCCTTCCACATCTCAGTTTCAGCAAGAGCCCTGCCTGATTTCTTAACTAACAAGGTTATAATGAAGAAGGGCTGTCGTTGGGCCCATACCTGTAATCCCAGCTACTCAAGAGGCTGTGGCAGGAGGTCACAAGTTTGAAGGCTTGAGCAGTTTAGAAGGCCTTGTCTCAAAATAAAACTTACAAAAGGGCTGGTAAGGGAGTTAGGTGCTCATTAGGTCCCATTCCCCATACTGCAAAAGAAAAGACATCGTGAAGAGATTTATACATTAATCCTGAACTGGGAACTATAGGCACTAGAGCCTTGCCATAGAGTGAAGACCTGGGCATAGAGGAATGGCCCAGACCTGTGTGAGACACCAAGACCCTGCCTGGGCCTCACTGCCTGCTATGGCAGTGCACTCCTCCACCTCCTGGCACGTGAGCCATGCATGCCCGGGTATGAACCATAGATCTGTGCCTCCGAGCACCTACCATCTGCCTGGAATCCCTTTTCCCTTTTTTGACCTTCAAATGTACTCAAATCAAAACTCCGGGGAAGCCTTCCTGCTGGAGCGGCCTACTGCACTCAGCTGTCCACGTGCGTCTTTGTGAGGTCTGTGACAGGGTGGTGTCTCCATGGTCTGCATCTAAACTTTGACCCTCATCTTCATTCTGAGGGCCTGGCCCCAGGCAGGACTGGAGCGACCTGTACAGGCAGATGACAAGAAATGTGGGCCAGGGCAGGGTCGCTGGAGATAAAGACCCCATGCCTTGGGCCATTGGACCTGGGACAGAGCCTGGCTGAGGCAAGAGGGCATTTTGGCCTCAGGTGCCTTTGTCAGTGGAGGTATGGGCCAAACAGCATGGGGCCTTGGCCCCAAGCCTGGGGAGTAATACTGGCTCAGTGCCTGGGAACACTTCCTTGTCCAAGTCCCTATCACTGAGGGCCAGGGCTGATGTCTGCAAGCTGATTACAGCGTAGTTGGCAGAGGGTTCTCACCAGGGGCCCCTGGCATCTGGAGCACAGCGTCCTGGCCTCGGCCCATTCCACAGGCAGTGAGGCTATGCCAAAGCCTAAACTGCTGGAGGAGGAGGATAGAGGAACCCAGGTGGAGGTGGCCCCACAGAGGGCTTCCCTGGCCTGGGAGTATCGGGAACACACACAGCAGAGTGCAGGTCTCCCTGGTGGTTGTGCTAGGTCCCTTGGTGGCCACTGGGTCCCACCCACTGCAATCTGTGTGCTTCTAGGTGTTCATGCCAGCCTGGACCCCACCTACAGTGCTACCCAGCAGTGCACACTCAGGCTGTACTCATGGCTTGTGACCCAGCACTTCTGCTCCTGGTATATACATGGGGGAAACAGAAGCTAACAGCTACCAACAAATACATAAAGATATCTACAGTTACTTGTTCACAACTACTCCGAACTGGAAACTCCCCAGATCAGTTTTGGAATGGTAAGCTAAGTGCATTGTGTACAACCACCACATGACAACAAAAAGTACTGATACACAATGACATCCTGCTCACAGGCATCCTGCTGTGTGAGAAGCCAGTCACAAAAAAGAGATCCCACATGTGGTGGAATCCCAACACCTGGGAGGCTGAAGCAGGAGGGTCTCCATGAGTTCAAGGCCAGCCTGAACTACATAGCAAGACCTTGTCTTTAAAAAAAATTGCAGCTCCCATGTGCTTTCATAAGTAGAAAGGGTACAGATCTAAGCAAGCTATTCAACATGGTTACCAGTCAGAATGGTGGTTCTCTAGGAGCTGGGGACCAGGGGCATGAGGGAGCTCTGGCAGCCAGGCACATTCTGAGTCTGGATCTGGGTAGTGATTATATGGGTGTGCTCACTTTTCTTTTTTTCTTTTTTCTTCTTCTTTTTTTTTTTTTTTTTTTTTTTTGTCTTTTTCATTTTTATCGGTACCAGGGACAGAACTCATGACTGCCTGCTTGCAAGGCAGGTTCTTATGCTGCTGAGCTAAATCCCCAGCCCGGTGTGCTCACTTTTCAAATAATGTTTTTATATGTTTAATTTGACAAAAACTTCAGCTGGTTGTGTTGGCACACACCTGTAAAACCTGTATTCTGGAAGGCTGAAGTAGGAGAGTTTCAAGTTTGAACTCAGAGTGGGAAACTTAGTAACTTAGAAAGAGCCTATCTTAAAACAAATAAATTAATGAATTGACTGGAGATAGAGCTTAGTGCAAAGGCCCTGGGTCCAATCCCCAGTACTACAAAAAGTAAAAACAAGGGCTGGGGATTTAGCTCAGCAGCATAAGTGTCTGCCTTAAAAGTGGCACAGTTGTAGGGGCTGGGGATTTAGCTCAGTGGCATAAGCGCCTGCCTTGCAAGCAGGCAGTCGTGAGTTCGATCCCCGGTACCAATAAAAAGGAAAAAGATTAAAAAAAAATTAAAAAAAAATACAAGTGGCACAGTTGTGAGTTCAACCGCTGGTACAAAAAAAAAAAAAAAAAGATAAGAAAAAAATCCAAGCTGGGCATAATAATACACACCTGTAACCCCAACTTTTTGGGAGGCTGAAGCAGGAAGAGTGTAAATTTGAGCTCAACCTGTACAACTTAGCAGGATTCAAACTAAAAAGAATAAAAAGGGCATGTAGTTTAGTGTTCCCTGGACTCAACCCCCAGTACAAAAGAGAGACAGACAAAGAGAACCACATTCAGCACTTAGGGACACTTCTGCCTTGTCTGATTATGTTCATATGACTCACATCCATCCACAGATTGCAACAATTCTACTAAAATATTTACCATAAAGTCTGGTTTTAAATAGAGTGTTGAGTGCAATAGAATCCTCCCTAGCCCTAGACCAGGCTTGAGATTTGCAACATGGAAGGAAGCCTTGGGCACGGCTCTGGTGGGCAGGTGCCTAAAGGGTTCAGAGATGCTCCTGGATGTGGCTTAAAGCCACACAGCACAGTAGTGCATGGAAAGCATTTGGGGCAAAGCTCTGCTCCCCACAGCAGCCAGCACGGAGATAAAGAGGAGAAATGGGGAGGACTCAGACACGACTGCACAGGCTGGATGTGGCCTGAAAGGGAAAACACCATTCATTCACGTATCTGCTCATTTGCTTATTCAGATGGGCACATCCTCCTGGTGCTGAGTGCTTCCGGTAGTTTGTGTAGACAAGTGCAATAGTCAAGCAGCTAGGATCAAAAAGAGGACCCACAGAGCTGAGGAGGAAGGACCCTAGAGGAGCAATTGTGGGAGACTTCACAGAGGAGGTAACATCTGAACTGGGCTTTCTGGGGAGGTAGGAATTTGGTAGATGCAGACACAAAGGGGTGAGCCGAGAGACCTGTCCTGCAGCTAATGGAAGGACCAGCAGTTTTGCTGCTGCTAAGACAACTTTTCCCATCTTGCCCAAGTGCCCAGAAAGTTCTTCCTCATGTCCTGAGATCTTCCCAGTCAGAGGCTCTGCTACTCTCTGCTGCTCTCTGTTCCACTGTGGACATTTACAGATGACGAAATATGATGAAGAATACAGTTTTAAAAATTCATGCCGGGGGCTGGGGATTTAGCTCAGTGGCATAAGCGCCTGCCTTGCAAGCGTGTGGTCATGAGTTCGATCCCTGGTACTGGTAAAAATACAAAAAAAAAAAAAAAAAATTCATGCTGGAACAAATTGCTCCTTTGGTTTCAACCATGGATGAAAATTCAAAAATGGAGAAATCAGTAATACCATGGTTATTTCAACAAGGGTTGATGAGTACTGACATTGATGCAGAGTATGGAGGAACCAGAGTTTCATTTTTTCCCTCCATCCTAGTGATAAGAGGAATTAGCCAAAATCATGCATCTTGGTTCTCCTGTGCAACCTTCAGAACACAGTAATTAATAAACCCACTGTGAAACATAGAACAGAAGGATAAAAGGCCACTTATTTGCCTAAACTGATGGTCGACGATCTAGGAAACTTTTGACTTTCAAAGGTTGGAGCAGGTAGCAGCTTCTTTGCTTTGAAGACCAGAGCTGATAGAAAGGGAAATTTTTGTATCATCAATGGGTCAAAGATGTGGATTAGCAGTGCAGGACGTGCAGGGCTCTTTGTAGTTTTTGCAAATGGTGTTCTCACCAATGGTTATAAAGGAATCACCTGCTGGTGGGCAGGTGCCTAAGGGGCTCAGGGTTTACTGAGGCCCTATGGTCGCACCCTCTGGCTTTTCTCTTTCCTCTTTCCAATCTGTTTATGTCAGGCACAGGAAATCATCTCTACAATTTGGGAGATATGCACCGCTATTTTCTCCAAAACTGTTTTTAAATTTCTATACGTATTTATATTATCATCTAGTTTCAGAACACATGGAAGTTTCACTCCATCAACATTTGAAGTATTACTTATAGAAATAGTAGTGAAGCCATTTCTTCAGTATTAGGGTTTTTCAATCAGGAGGAAAAGAAACTCCTAGTATAGAGACTGAGTCCTCAATGTGAGAGGACTATGAGAGATGTGAATGTGAGATGTGAATGAGAGATGTGAATAACAGGTGAGCGAGGTTTCTGTAAAAGGATGTGAGTTGACATGAAAGTGTTCCCAGGATCACGCACTTGCTGGAAATCATTACTATTAAATAGGAAGCATTTTAGTACTTTCGTGAAAGAATGTTTATTAATTAAGGAAACCTGACATTTTCAGGGTAATCTTGATTTGCACATTCATGTTTATTGAAATGGCTTAATTTCTACAATGCAAAGCA